AGTAGCTGACGATCAAATGACCCAACTACATTGTTTAAGTTTCTTTTGACATAGTTTATTTACTGTCGTAACTTTCGATCAACTAGTCAGTTTTGAAATTCAAACAGGAAATAAAGTACACTCAGCATAAGACAGTATAAAAGCAAAAAAAAATAAAAAATTAGCTCAACAAAGAACATTTTGCTGAGTGCATCTCTTAGCTTAATTGTTAACTCTAGAAACAGCTACTTCTATATGATCAATGCTCAACTCTTACACTTCAGTTTAAAAACGTTTAATTTGAAAACCTTATAGTTGTTGCTGCTTCCTGTTTGTATGCAAAGCCAGCACAATGCAATGCAATGCTGGATTTTACTACAGATTTGTGGAGCCTTACACATAACACAAACAACAATAACAATATTAGTTATGATAATGAAAATATCCGAATCAGCATCGGTATGCATCGGAATTTGATTGGAACTGAAATATAGTGGATCGGTGCGTCTCTAATTGATAGTTGTGCTTATTGGATGCTAACTTATCCAACGTAGCTCGGATCAGAAATACGTGACTCGTAGTATGTTAATGGCATACTAACAGTCAGATTAGTAGGCAGTATGCAGTATAAACTGCTTGAGTACATAAGAGGCAGTATGTTAGTGGTTTCGGACAAAGCTAGTGATTAACGTAAAGCCAGGCTAAAGTAACAGAGCTAAGAAGGTAGCTTTACTTAAAACAATATGGGCTACAAAATACAGTTAGGCAGTCTGTAACAACTAGACATTCTTTAAAATGTCAACAAGTTTGTGATGTCGCTTATGGAGTAATGGGAAGTTCAGGGAAATATTACAGCAAGGTTACATCTCAAGTCTTATGATCCAACTTTACTCAAAGTGCATTAAACAAATCCTAGAAGTAGAATCATTTCAGTATAGAATCACTATGAAAAGGGCTTTCCTGTAATCATAACACTTTGGTGCATTTAATTTCATTATGCCTCTGAGCCATATGCTGCATGAATGCCTCTCAACTTAGAGTCGGTGTCTAGCTGTGTAACAGATTGTGGCCTATGGGTCTACACAGCGCATGGTGTGAAAGACTAGTGGCAGAACTGACCTGACCTTAGCTCAGTTTGAGCTCACACAAGAGAGTGGCTTATCTCAGCAGCTTAGCACTGTAGAGCTGTTAAACTGGCAACTTTCACTATTCCTCCTCGAAGAACCCTTAAATTCCAATCTTTGTCAACGCATGGGTGATTTTTGCCAATCTAAAAAAATATGAATTCTAGATTTTAGGGACGTTACATGGGAGGCTGACAATATTCAACAATAGAGCAAAATACAACAACAAACTTCTTGCTTTTGGTTTAAGAAGCTTTTGCTTTTATTGCCCCTACAAATGGAAGGGTTCCCCTACCCCAAACTAAACCTCCCATCCCTCCCAAAATATTTATGGAATTTACGAAATTCATTTTCATCCGTTATATTTCAGTGTAGGCCTGGGCAATATGACAAAAAATGTTATCACGATAAAAAAATTCATGTCAGTCGATATCGATAATTGCCAATAATTATTTCTTTCAAATTTAAAAGCTGATTTTTGTTCCTGAGTGAAAGTTGAAGAAACCAGATGGTAAATTATGGTTTAATTATTCTTTAATGAAAGAACATGACAAACTGTAATTAAACAGAAACATTTCACCATCATAAGCTCAGTGCACGGAGCTGGAAAACCCTGATATGACAGTTTGCTGCTGGGGAGTCACAATTACTGGCCCGCTGCTTACTGAGGGTCAACACCATAGACTGTTTATATTATTTACAATACGGTCCACACTACCACTCATTTCAGACGTTTGGATGTTTATTTCCTTCTGTGTTTTAATGGGTCATATTGTTTCAAATGGGGGAAAAGTGAGTGTTAGCTATTTTAGCTGCACTTCTCTTCTGCCAGACTACAGCACGGAGCGGTCACACTGGCCAAACGAACCGGACTTGAAGCGTGCTTCGGCACGGTACGCATGGCCTGTGTGACCGCGCCCTTAATTGACACACGAGTAAAGCATGCAGCTCTGATAGTGCAAAAATAATAGTGAAGACCAATAGATCCATATTTTACAACACTGTGATTTTAATGTTGTTTAAAAATTACCTTTTTCTGATGATCTGGAAAGATTGTTGTTTGATAATATTAGTCGTACAACAGACCACAAGTCTCATGAGTCAGGTCACAGATCTTTGTCACAGGTCATATCATACGTGCCAGAAGTGGCACTCCGCTCTGCTTCATTCCAAATACGCACCAAGGCTTTTATTTTGACGGAGCCAGCTGTACAGAATGGATCGACCCAGACAGTAAGTCCGACAAGGAAACACACAGAGGATCAATTTATAAAAAAATAAAACACAATATACAACCATTCGATTGTATATTCCATCACTTTATCAAAATGATGCCAAAACAGGCACCAAACAAACCTCAGAAAGACCAAGCAACATCAGGGCATGAATTTCAGTGTGGTATTGCAGGAATCGAGCACAAAACATTAAATTCCTGCAAGTCTTCCTTTCATAATGCGAGAAAACTCTTGCATAAATTAATACACTTCCAATGCTTTTTATAGTTCTCTGTAGAGCCGTTTTCACATATGCACTACGGATAATATCTAGATAACTACAGGAGGACTGCTCCGGACGACCTAGGCATTCACATATGCTCCTCACAGCTGGAGACTAGGTAAGACGTGACGTAAAAAAAACAACGCGGAAGTAGCAGCCGTAGCAACAGAGTCCGCTACACGACGCTATAATGAGAATATTTGCCTTTATATCAATGCTATGTGTAATCCATTGGAATGACAACATCACTAAAGAGCGGAGAACAACATACTGAGGAACAGAAAACATAATGCAGCCGTTTAATTACGTGCACGGAGATCGTAGTGATCATGTGCAGACACTTTATGCACCGTGCAGCAGTGTATATAAACGTCACTGGGGTCCCATTGGCTAGAGGTGAATCCTCCGGAGTATATGCTTTCCTCCTTCTCCTCAACACACACGTGAATACACACATGCATGTGGGCAGGTGAGCATTGAATAGCATAGGCGACTGTGTGCATGGTGTGCTTCACAGACTATAACTGAGCTGTCCGCCCAGGTATAGTTGCAGACAAGGATTTTTATTTTCTTTATCAACATAAAATTGCCATCCACCATTGATAAACTAATGGGCAGTCTCCTTTTTGTTCGCACTCCTCGCATCCGTGTTGCAAGCATAGGCTGTTTTCAAAACTGTGTACTATACTACTAGTACGTACTAATTTGGCCAAAATGCAGTATGCAGTATGCAAACAAATGCGAGATCCGCAGTATGCCAAAAATACCCGGATGTCATACTGATTCTGGAAAAATGTACAGTATGCATTGGACCAGTCTACCTCGCGTACTGTCTCCCAGAATGCAAAGCGCCAGGTAAATATTTACAGTCAGAGAAATGGCGAAGCGCAGTATTTCCACGGCGGCTGAGACTGAATATAAATATAAGTACCAATTACCAGACAACATTTGTCATCATTTGCTTTTGTTTCATTATAATAACGTATAATTTTTATTTGGTTAACATTATAATTTGGGCCCTTAACAAACGTCAAGCTGGCGTATAATGAAGTTATGCCTGCTAACGTAATGCTAAATATCACAACAACAGCAACGCTAGCATGCCGTCACCATATATACACAGGCAACTTTACTATTACGCCAACCTAATGTATATTTATTAAATTAATTAAGGGACAGAACAGGACACAGAGGCCCTTATCCGTTGGCGAACCGCCAACGCAAAGCCTGTTCAGTGGCCGCAGGAATGCAGCTCAAAAGGGATTTGAGTAAGTGGACGGTAAGTTATTATTGTTGTTAAGTGAACTTAGCTGCTAGGTAAGTTCACTTATCTACAGAAAGTAGTGTGATAAAGTTACATCTTCGGAGGTACCAGTGTTCTCATACAAAAAGGCTTTTACTGTTGTGTTGTGATAGAGAGTTTGTGAAAGAGCATTCCCTGGTGGGGAAAGTGGACAAAAATACAAGGTAGGGATAAGTAAGCTGCTGCCTTCCAAAGGTGTTAGATCACCTGCAATGACTTTAATTTTGCCTTTACACAAGCTGTGTGTGTGTGTGTGTGTGTGTGTGTGTGTGTGTGTGTGTGTGTGTGTGTGTGTGTGTGTGTGTGTGTGTGTGTGTGTGTGTGTGTGTGTGTGTGGAACTGAAGGCCCCCTGAACGGGAGTGAGCACGGAGGGAGGAGCGGCCACCGCTGCATCCTGGAAATGGTATGCCCTGATGGACGAAGCACTGGGCTGGAGGCCTTCAGTAACGCCTCTGGTCACCATTGACTCATCAGGCCAGGATGTAGTGGTGGTCTCTCCTCCCTCCCCTCAGGCAGGTGAGTGTTCCGTTCCGGCACGGAGCAGAAGAGAGCCGGAATGGATTAAAATACTGAAGCAGTTGAATGAGAGGGATGAAGAAAGGGAGAAGCATTGGATGGAGAAGGAGCAAAGGCGAGAGAGAGAGGCACTGGACAGAGAGGAAAGGAAGGAGAAGGAACAGCTGGAGAGAGAAGAGAGGAGGGAGAGAGAGTGGAGAGAGTGGCTGGAGAGGAGGGAACGGGAAAATTCAGAAAGGGAGGCAGAGAGACAAAGGGAATTGATGGAAATTGTTGAAATTGTTTAAATTAAAAAGCAAAAAGGAATGTGTGGAGGAATGATTAAAATTTTAATAAAGTAGTTCCATATTTTTGTAGTGTCACTACTTAGGTCACATACGCTTAAGCGTTCTGAAAAGTAAACAGCTAATTATCCTATATTATTTATAAAATCTGCCTGTATTCATCTCTGAAATACTTATATTCTGCCCATATAAGGGTGGATGAGCCAAACAGTCCTGGGTAAAATAATATATTTCAAATGAATGGTGAACCACCATTATATCTTCACATTTTTTTCTGTACAAAAATGACTGAAGCAAAATGTGAAACAGGCACTTTTATTAACAGAAAATGCAATGTGAACATGCTCATGAAAAATTATATTAGTGAACAAACAAAACCTAAATCGCCATAAATACAAGTAGTGGAAATGAAAATATATATATTAATAGGTATGGTCCTCCAGGGCTTGGATGACCCCAATAGGTGCAGAAACTTCTGCTGCCAGCCTGTTCCTCATTATTTCCTCGGGCATTTGATCATCAAGGTGGTTCGGGTGGTCATCACCCTGGTCATGGAAGGCCCCCTCCTCCACCTCTGGCTCGACCAAATCCCCATTGTTGATGGAGAGGTTGTGGAGGAAGGCACAGGTCGACACCACTGCCGGAACAAAGGTTGGCTTGATCTACAGGAAAAAAATCAAGTTTAATGTAGCTGTATAATGAAAAAAAACATGATTGAATAGCTTGCATTACGCTGCTCTTCACTTTTGTTTTCATTATTGTCTTAGAATGTCCATACCTGTATTACTTTGCTGCTTATATTTAATAGCCACTGCTCTGCACTTATTCAACTAGTGTGTTAATTTACACATTAATGCTGTCTCTCACCTCCAGGGCCTTGAGGAAGATGCTGCGCCACCGCGTCTTCATCATGCCAATCGCCTTTTCCACCACACACCGTGCTTTGGCATGATGCCGGTTGTATCATGCATGAACAGGGTTTTGCACCGGCTCCTTGAATGGGGTCATCAGGCTGATTGGTGCAGCCAGGCAGGGATACCCCCCATCCCCAACAATACACCAGCCATGAGGGGGGTACAGTCGGTTTACATATAGAGAACTCCACCACAGGACCCTGGCATTGTGGACAGAGCCCAGAAGTCCTGTGAACAAGGGTGATGTATTGTGAATATGTCATTGTACTTGACACGGTACAGGACAGATTATGTTGAAAATGCCTGTCTCAAACACTTCTGAAATGTGACATCACAAATTCAATTGTGATTATACAATATATTTTCAAGTAATTACAATGTTTACAATCATGAGAAATTCACACATGAACATAATGACGTTGCAGTTGTTGGGTGTCAAATAAAAATCCCAGTAAGTGTGTGAGTCCTGGTCCACATTCACTTTAATTGTATGTGCGATGACTGCAACACCTTTTCCTGTGAAACCCCAGCAGTGTTTGGTGGACTTAAAGTGAACCCAACCTTCCATAGGTATTAATGTTAGTACGGTAAATGATGACTGAATTATTCATTGGATCAACAATTTCTTTAGCAGTGTAAGCTGTACTGTACTCATACATTTCTGACTTTCATTTCTACCTGTATATGTATTGAGGAAGTGGCCTTTGTGATCACACACCACCTGCAGCTGAATGGAATAGAAGAGCTTCCTGTTGAACAACACAACATGTAATTGATAACCACTCACATTGATATGGGATTAAAAACAGGTTAATATAGGTGGTATTTTGTATGCAGGTTACCTGTTAACATAGTCTTCTTTGTTTGCTGCAGGTGGCTTGATTCTAATGTGTGTCTCATCAATGCTGCCAGCCACTCTGCAGAAGACATGAGAGCCAGCCAAGTGGGCAAAGCCTTCCCCTATTCCCTCTAGCTCATCAGCAGCAGGGAGATGAACCACCCTCTTCATGATGCTGATGATACTTCCAGCGACTCGATGAACAACATCATGAACCGTGGTGATGGGGACATCAAAGGCTCCTGACACCACCCGATACGAGGTGGCACTGACCAGCCAGTATAAATATATCCCCACTTCGAGGTCTCCAGCCATCGTCCTTGGTGTATCCCAGACACTCCACCAAGGCCTTCACTGTCTGCCTTGACAGATGGAAGTCTTTCTTTAGTTCTCCATCTCCCAGGTAGAGGCGGACAATAGCGCTGTGGCCATTCAATTGGAGGTATTGTCCTCGCAGTCCACACTGAGTAGGGACAAGATGTTTCAGTTGTCTGAACTTGTATTTCCAAAGTGAGAAGTGTTTAACCATTTATGAAGTGTTTTTTGGTTACCGATATAATACTATTGTTAATTTGCTGTGAAATTCATTGTTTGAATTTATTTCAATGTTAAGAAATGAAGTGGTTACTAATAAACATACTTGTCACACAATAGTATTTATTGACTTATCTGAGTATATACCGTCAATATTTGAGGTGAGGAGCTTACATTAACTTCCTTACATAATCCCGGTTTACCCTTACAAATATTTAATGTGTCCTACTTACATGGTCTTCATTTTGTAATTGGATAGCCAGAATGTTTCTCCTGTTGGCAGCTTGTCGTCTTCTTCTTCTTGCCACATTGTGTGCATGAACCAATGACAAATATGACATTTTCTGATATTTATGTGTCTTACCACCTCGGATGTTCCTGCTTTTTCGACTGTCCGATGCATGTGCCACATGTGGACAAGCTGCTGCAATTACAGGGTCCTTGGCTTGCTCTCTTATTACATATTATTCACAGCTGTGTAAAAGTTAAACCTGAATGCTTGAAAAGTATACTACAATGTTAATAGTATACTTCATAATGTAATGAAATAAATTACCACAAATAATAGCATGCTAATCATATTTCAACCACGGGTGTTATGTAGCCTATAAATGACATAAGATATGAGAGACTGTTGACTGTTTTATTTTAATTATGTTAATTATTTTGTTACATGGTTGATAATCAAAGTCAGAGTAAAAAAACATACTACCAATTAACAAGTTGATGAAAAGGCACCCAATTTCATTAAAGCAGAATTACAAGAATGATGGAACGTAGCCTTCGCAAGATGAATGAGATCCGTCTCTGTTACATTTACTGCGCCCTGATGACAATCAAATAACGCTGAATTAACTTAGACCCGATGTCACACGTAAATGTTTTTGTCCCATGTAAAATAAGAACAATCAAAATTAAGCACTTGTCAGGTTATTTCACAACACCGTAGCGGCGTTTACCTCCAGATGGGCCGTTGTTTACTTCCGCATTCCAGGACTGGAAAACAGTTTAACCGGGCCAAGCATACTGCAAAATAACCGATGACTGGCAGTCATACTACATACTACTGTTGAACGCAGTATGCAGTATACAGTATATACTGCATACTGATTTAGATATTAGTATGTAGTACGCAGTTTCGAAAACAGCCATAGTGTCTGACACGTGCCCTGTTTTTTTAGTTTTTAAGCTGCATGACATTAACAAGGCTCACCAACAAGCAGATCATAACAGACCCGAGAGCTATATTTCAAGTCTTGCATTATTTAGGCAACTTTAAACACTAACTGCTGCGTATTGTCAAAAGATCACACACAAACAGGTATAGAGATAAGGGAGGAGTCAGGGCAGGACAAGCCGTGTGTATGATGGGCAGTGTCGGGCAGGTTAATGAAAATGAAAATGAGTAACTAGATACAGTTACGAGTTTCTACTTTTAAAAACTATTAAAAAGTATCCGAGTTACTTACTGAGTTACTGCTTACTATACCACTACAAAAGTAAATTCCTTTTTTGCTTCAGTCCTTATATTAATGTTCATATTATTTAGTGCTGCTGGTGACAAAATTGTGGTGGGAAAACTCGCACATTTAAAAAAAAAAAAAAAAAAAGAAGTTATTTTCAATTTGTAGGTATTTTACCAATTAGATCTCTGAAGACAACAGACTCAACAGTTGATGTGAAACACGTCGCCGACAACATATCTATCTATCAGTCTACTACTCTGCCTTACAGATCGCGTAGCAGGCTGTATTTTAAATCAAGTCAGCGGTTTGTATGGAGTGGATCATCCTCGGTCTGCCAAGCATGCACCAACATGAGCTGAACTGCCCCTGGGTCTCAGGTCTGCAGGGTTAGGCTATCAAGATGGGTGTTGTTGGTTTAGCTCGGTGCTTTGGTCTTTTTACGTTAATTTTTCCTTCCTGCACAAAGACTACAAATCACTGCTATATTCTTGTCATTTAACTCGTATGTCATGTAATGTCTGTATTTCCTGCCTGGCCTGCCGAATAAATGTCAGTGAACTTTTATCTGGTGTTGTTGTCGGCTGTTTCACATGCCTGTAGTAACGAGCGACTCGCCGTTTTAAATGTCAGTAATTGTGACTGACATTGTAATTGTGAGTATTTAAATGTGATCAAATCTGGAAAGTCACTAGATATCTTACGATACTAGTAACCGCAAATAGTAGTGGCTTTACAGTGATGTGTTATGTTAGTAATGGGACTAACTAATATGTGACTGCAACCCCAGAAATAAGTAGCAGAATAAAGCATTTTTAACAGTATACATAATATTACCTTTTATAAATAGGCTAACGTAGCCTATTTCTTAGATAATTGTTCAATTCTACCTTATTTGTTGGATGGTTTTGTCGTTTGTTTGGGGAAATGGCATGTTAAAATATCAAAGGTAAACTTTATAAAACCACTGTAAACAAAATGATATATCATGTAATGTACTTATACACTTTTCATGCATTAGTAGTTTTCTCAAACTAAAAGGAATCCTGCTATCCTGCTGATTTGAATAATCAGCAGGATAATAATAATAATAATAATATAATTATAATTATATGGTTAACTCTAAATCTTTTCCGTAGAAATTTAAATGAAATGCTCAAGTCAACAAACAGATAATGTTATATTCTTCTGATGGTCTCATTTAATTTTTTTTAGGTCACAAAGAGGCATCAGTATTGATTTCAGTCTGTTTCTTGACCGGACAAAACGTTTCACAGTATGTTTAAGCTTGCCTAATTTGAATTGCCTTTGCATTTTTGAAAAGGGAAACTGTGCCTCAGATCAGAAACTATGTTCAGAACTGCAAAAAAAAAAAAAAAAAAAACTGTTCCTCCTCTCAATACTGTAAGCAAAAGCTAAGTGTTTATTTTCCTTAGTCTTTAAACGTGGAAATCCATAACAGATTAGCTGGAGCTTGGTCATTCAGAAAGGCAACATTAAATATAAATCCACTTTGAGGTTGACTTGAATGGTGTAACAGTAAACTGTTGGTCCTGAGCTAGGTTTGGCTATTACAAAAGCAGGACAGGTAAACAATAACTAGACAAACTGGTTTTTCATGTGCGTGTTAAACCACACAGATATCCACAGCAGGACACAGAGTGTTTTCCCTATCTCTGGGTCTCCATCGGGCCAGCAGCTAAAAGAAAACAGCCTTTCATTCCACACACACCATGTGATTTATATCATACAGTATTTCAAATTTGCGTTTTAAGGAACCGCTGAAATACACAACAGACTCCAAACAGACTATTTTCATTCCCCAAAACTTTCTATGACATATAGATACATATCTTAAAGGTAAACTAAATGTTTTAATGTAGCCATCTGTAACTTTATTATTAATTTGATAGTTTCGTAACACCAAACGTCTAACCATTTACCTTTGATTTCATTAGAGAAAAATCAGTTAGTTGAAAATAAATGAAATAAAAGTATGTTGATGTTTTCGATCAGCAGAAAAACCTAAAAAATATTCAATGACTTTTCTTAATATGCAATTTCAAATTGCAGTGATATCAAGACAAAGGACTTATTTTTACAGCCAAAATCTTGTAGTTAAGAGGAAGCCATGTATATGCTACATAAAAGGAATATAGGGGGGTTGATATTCGCCTTTATTTTTTACTCATGCAGCTATTTGCCTTTACTAACAGCTGTGCTAACTTACCCATTACACCCTGTGTCAGTAACTTGGCACTGCCAACTAAGGCTGTGTCTCAACATACTAGTCTCTTCATGCAACTGTTTACTTGCAAATGTTGGCTGAACATCTAGAGTAGATGTACAAAGCAAAGGTGTCTGGCTTCTTTCCTAGTTAGCCTCGGTTGCACCATCTGTATTAAAGCTACAATATATAGCAAGTATGGCTTTGGACTGGGTGGAGAATTTGGCTGGGTGAAATAAAATCTAAAAACGTTCACCAAAGTTGGTCTGAAATAAGTAATTGAAGTGGTTTTACCTTGCTTTTTATTTATGCAAAGATCTAGCAACCTTACATTCTTTTTTTTTCACTATGACATTTTAGATATTCTTTTTAAATTTTTAACTGCTGAAAGGGCTGCACAACTCATTTTGAACAAGCTGCATTGTTAAGAATTAATGTAGTTGGATTAGACTGAAATACTAACAGTTCAGATTGTGAAGTGCATGCAACCTTTTACAGGGTTTTACTTTTATCACAGTGTTGGCCAGTCTGTGAGCTTGACTCATATTGTGTAGAAATAAAAAGAGTGAAGTGAGATGAATAGACTGAGAAGTTTTTCTTGACAAAACCGTTCTTGATTTAGTTTAGTTGATATAATATGCAGTTAAAAAGCTTAATTGCAATATATTGTATCACAATTCTCAGCGTATCGCAAAATGTTTAAAATCACAATAGAATCGTATCGTGTCTCGAGTATCATGATAATTTCGTATCATGGGGACTTTGGTGATTCCCACCCCTAATTACTATATAGTTTAAATGTAAAAAACAGCTGATTCTGTACGTCCACACTTATTCTTTTGTCAAATCTCCTTCTCAAGCAGCCCCACAGACAGCATGCATCCAGAAAGAGCTAAAAGGCAAGATGGCAAAGTCATAATAGCAGAAGATGTGATCGTAAAGACAACGCCTGACAAAGACCTGTTTATGACTGTCTAGTGTCATCTAGTCTCAAATAGCTATAGTCTAACATATCTTCAACCAACCAAATGCTGCTTCGAGTTGCTTTGTATTTTACAATTTTGGAGTTTCAATTTATTGACACAGATTTATATTCAACAAAAAAAAAGCCTTTTTATCAAATCAATGTCAAAAGGCTTCTTCCATGATTTTGTACTGATCTTGTATGTTCATTATAATGCAGAACACAGCACAAAGATCTGTTAAGATAAAAATGCATAAGGGAGTCAAGAGACGTGTGGTTTTTATCCTTCATCACAAGAGCATACAGACTCAATGTCAATCAACTTCAGTGTGTCATAGCCTTTAAAACGAAACAGAAGACTAAAAGCCTCAAGTATCTGAAAAGTTAATAAAACCCAAATCAATGATTGCTTATGAAGGTTTCATTGCACCACACTTGATTGCCAATACCATGCCTACATAGTGTATGGATAAAAGATGATAAGAGCCTGAAGTTATTCACAAGTCTAAGCTAAGAGTTTAACAAAAGAGAAGAACCAGAAGTCGAGTGATCTCAGCCTTTACTTCAGCCACACAGAAGACCTTCTCGAGAGCCCTTCTAGTGCTGTGCTCATTGTTTCCTTTGGTGCTTCACTTTGTGATTTCCTCTTATAACAGCAGCACTTTTCATTGACCTGGACTCTAGCAACACTGAGAGCACTCCCACAGAAGAAAGTATCTGTAATGACACTATATTAATTTATCTGTGGATGAGAGTGCAGTGCTTTCTTTAACACATTACACTTTCCTGCAATGAAAACATACACCTACAACCACAAATAAACACACCTGACTGACTATCAACACTTGCACTTATTAACTGTTGGCCTCATGCAGGTCAACAACAGACTCAGAATGGGCTTGTTTACACAAGTTGAAGAGAACAGAGGATAGGCTATAGCTTGGTCTTTTCAGTTGATTTGGTAATGCTGTTATTTGTCCTTCCACCAGAGTGCCAATGCTAAAGCTCTTATCAAGGCAAAGCACTTTAGCAAGACACCGAATTGGTTCTTGCCCCAGCAGGGATGACTAGTCTATAGCTTGTCTAGCACTCTGTCCTCCACTAGAAAATACAAAAAGAGGTCATTGAGGAAAAAAAAAAAAATTTCCCCAAGAAGAACCTACTGCAAACAGTCAAATTAGTTAAGAGATTTTCAAACAGGCCTTCATAATAGGAAAAAAAAAACATGTTTGTACAATATTGTCATGGTGATTAGAAATCACCAAATATGAATGAACAAATATTAATGAGTGCATATTAGCTTTAACTCAGTTTGTATGTCCAGCTGATGATCACATGTGCAACATGTTTGTCCTAAATAAAAAATACATTAAAAAACGGTTTGTTTTACATCTAAATTGGCAACAAGTAATGTCAGGGTAGCTGATAGCAAGCTTGAGCTTAACGTTATTTGATTGCGTCCAAAAAATGTTGTGAAAGCATTATCATTTTATCAAGGCCTCAATACAAAAGGTAAAACTTATAATTGCAATAAATTAACACTTTTACAATGTTTTTATTGTGAGTGCTCATATTGCTACTGAAATTACGATCAATTGCACAGCACTAGTTGCTGGCGATTGATCCATCAATATCAGTCTTTTTTTGGTAGGAATATTGTCAGTAGTTCAAACAGTGACGGCTGGATCTGGAAACGGGGCAATAGATGTTTGTGCCCCCATTAAGAGAAGTGATCAGGTGGTCTGCTGGGCTCCTGTAATTAACAACTTCAGCCAAATCCAGCCAGGCATGACCAGCAAATTAACATGCAGCAGCTTTCACACTCTATCCCACAGATCTGCTCAGTGAGCAGAAAACCAATACAGGGCCACTCTGAAAATAGCCCAGACCACAGACTGTCCTTTCAACTCCAATACCACTGATACTACAACTCCAGTTGTACAGCAAAGCCATAGACAATGAGACAGCTTAAAAAATATTTGGCTACGATTCTCACAAAGCCTGATGGACAGCGAGCTTAGACTGGCCCTTGACAAGGTTAACAAGGTGCTGTGCTCAAAACTCACAATGTTTGTGAAATATTCAGGGAATGTGAGTCATTTCACACGTAAAACTCTCCAATAATCTTTTCCATTTTATAAAATGCATGCATATCAAACAACTGACCTTTGGGTCCTCTTAAAGGCACATGCTCTATCTCTGACTTGTTTAATGTTTCTGTAATAAATACACTGTTATTGCTGATATTTAAAATGATAATACCAGGGAATTGGTCTTGACAGCCTCCCTTTTTATCAAGGAAAATTGCTATTCTTGCTAGTATAATGATTAGTATGATTTTTTTTTTTTTAAACAGAAGATGCTGACAGGGGTGAAATAGCGCTGAAAATATTCCCCAAAGTCCCTGTCCATACCATCTCTCATCACAGCTTCCTGTCCACACAGGAATCACCAGCGCCAGGAGGAAATCCTTCCTTGGCTGAAAGCACAGTGAAATCAGGGTGGTTGGGGGGCATCAACACGTAGGCCGTACTATCAGCTGCTGGACAAACAGACCAGCCTTATCTCTGACTGCACATGAGGGGAAGAAAAACAGAGCTGTGTATTGACCTCCACTTTGGTTGAACTACTCTTGACATTGAAGGTATAAGACAGATCTAACCATATTAGCTCTAAACAGTTTTGCTCAAGCTTCTGAAAACTACAAATCTGATGCTGGTTGTTATAGATGAACCATTGTGCAAAAAAATCATTAAAACAGCAAACATACCACCATGGAAAATATACATGCAAGGATTCATCAAGCTGTCAAACAAATGGTTCAAAACCCTAAAAGTCTCAGTGCTCCTTTAATTCCAGAGACTGTTCTTTTCAACTGACTTTCAGTCCAGTTAATGTCAAATGTTACAATAAAAAAAAAACTATCACAGCAGGATATCTTAAAGATTTGAGAATCATACATACTTTTTGAAGATACAACCATGACGTTTTACTGGTATCAACTTGTGACATGTGAGTCACATTCACAACAATACATATTTACATCCTTAATCAAGACAAATTCTAAGGGCGATACTTGAATAGAAGAGACATACTTGACATGACTAAAACACTGAGAACCACACATCTTACATGCACTTAAGTCTTTTTCATATCTCGTAATTCCCTCTTGACAACTTTTTTTCCACTCCACATGTATCACGTAATACTCACTATGGGGAAATGACAAATAAGCTTAGGTCCACAAAACTATAAAAAGGTCACCTTGGTTGTAAGAGGAGTTTAACTCAGGTGGGATGCAATAAAAAAAAATGCATAGATGAAAAACTATATTGTAACCTAATGTATGCTGGTTTGCCAAATTTGATTTTGCATTTAGAAAAAGTGGATCAAAAACAGGTTCCATTAATGTTATACAAAACTTTGTGGTGCAGCAGAAGTCAGGCTGCAGCAGAGCAACATCATGCCTCTGTTACAATAGTTGAGTTAGACAGGGTTGAAACAACATCTTTACAATAGTTTTATGACTGCTATATCCACATACACTGCACTTCCTTGTCAAATTCAATGAACACCAGACAAGTGTGGCAAATGTCCATGTTGCATGACTTTCAGATGATGTATCTCAGGGTAACTTACAGCAGCTTGACTTGCAGCTGAACCAGCAGACAACCAGCTGGATGCAATGTCTACCCTCAGTTCACCTTAAAGTTAAATAAAAGGTGAAGTGTGTTCTCCACGAACAGGTGAGCTAAAGAGCTGCATATACTATTTATTAAAAAAAAAAAAACAGTCGTATTGACTGACGAGGCAGAGTGGCAACATAGTGATGGGTCTCTCATCTGTTTCTCATTCACTGATAACACAGACAGCGTCAGTTAGCATTGGCTAGCAAGTTAGCCACCAGGGGTGCTAGCTCCCATTTGCTAGCATTCATGCCTTAACAGTGTCGCTTGTCTTATATAAATAAATATATATATATATGTATAATATCGGGAAAACAGCAGGAACGTGACAAACACTTCAAACTGCACTGGAAGTTTTATTTTTTATTGTGCGAATGAATTTATCCTCTCAGCTAGCCTCCAGTAGTCACCGCAGTGACAGCTAACCTGATCGGCTGATGCCAGCTAGCTAGCTCGACTAGCTAACCCGAGGCGAAGCAGCATCGAGAAAAAAAAGCGCTGGTGACATTTCCACTCACCCAACAGTGAACGGAGGTGTTTGAGTCGGGTCAGTACATCCTTCTTTGGGTCCAAAACTTTCTGTGTAGATTTCTTGACGTCTCCATGTCCCCTTCGAGTGAACATTCCGCTGTGAAATGAGACCGTGGGAGCTGAAATCACCTGCGTTTCACCATTCACCAAGCCTCCAGTGTGACTGTCACTTCCCTCACCACCACTCTATGCCTGCTCGGTAAACATTCAGCCGACGGCCGCTAGTGTCCTGTTGTCTGTGGGTGTATAAACACGGAAGCACCAGACTGACAGCGAGGAGTGGTGGACCAACATGAATACGCCTCCTTGTTTACAATCCTTCCCACCTTGCACCCGAAGTGTTTATTCATTCGTGTGTTTTATTTCTAAATCGTTTAACCTCTCGGGTTGGCTACCTCTCTTTTCCTTTTGAATGGCAACCAAATGCATTTTTGCAAAGAGGGGTTTTTTACTCTCCTTCCTGCGCCCATACGATTACATGAGAGAGACACGCTTCAGTGCAATGGCCTGAAGTAGAATTGAGGTTGAATTGACTTTTGTCAAGTAGTCAACGAAATTGATTTCACTTGGACTACTGCCACACAATTCAGGTTCGATAAAATGATGTTGGGGTCTGGATGCTGTAATAGCCTCCAAGCGCCCTCTGCTGTTCGACGTGTTTCATCACAACATGGAGGCAATATGAATGAATCCTTTGGGTAATTAATTTGTTCATGCAACGCACTTGGACAGCCCATGTAGAAAATTATTACAAGGAAGAGAAACTTTCAAAGGTGGCTGTTTTCTTTGACCTCTCACGTGTTTTATATATTTGTATAACTTAAGGTTCTACCAAAACGTATAGCGTGTTGCATTTTGGTCTTCCTAAAGATTATTTTCTTAAGATAGCTCTTGTTTAATATCTGGGAAGACTACCAAAAATAAACTTTTCACATTCAAGGAGAAGAAAACACAACAGAAAATAGTTGTCAATTCATTTCATGTCATTTGACCAATCTATCTGTCCAATTATTCAAAGGCTACAAGAAAGAATTATTACCAACCAACCACACCGATTGTTTTGGTTATTTAAAAAAATAAATGAAGTCACCTAAAATCTGCCAGTAAAGAAACACTATATTAAATGAGTCTAATGTAATGAGTATATTAGGCTTTATGACAGTTTTTCATAGCAGACATTTGAACTTGTCAGTTGTATGATAAAGATAGGTGCTTAGAGAACTTCAATGATGGCTGCAATCCATTAAAGTGTTTCAATTTCAAGGCCCTGGTATGGATAAGTGGCTTACTTATGCAGCACTATATTGGAATAGTCAAGTGTTAAAAGGCTTAAATGTCTTCTGTATTTTATGTTAGCAAAGTATGAATGTAAAATTTACATGTTTGATATCCTTTGCAAATTAACAGCTATACTGATGCCTTAATTTTAACATGCTTTAGTTAACAGAACCCCCAGTTACATATTTTAATGCAATTATAATCAAAGCATGTAATAAAATATTAAGTGCCTCCCTTCTAATTTCCAATGCACTGTATTGTTACAATAGTTATGATGAACCAGGGAGCCTAACTTCCAGATGAAAGAAACTTGTGTTTTTTGATATTCACACCTCTCTACAGTGACACTTCCAAAGAGAGAAAAGGTAGAAGAGCTTCACCACTTATTCAAGCTGCTGCCACTTGACTTTTTAAACTTGAGCCTGTGATGAATGAATGTAAGAATACAAGGTATTTTTTTTTTTTAAATAGAAGAGCTCTCTCTTACAGTTGGAGTAAACTTAGGGCTATGCTAGATTGAACAGAGTTCAGTGTGCTCAGGGCTTTAATGGATTCTTGAAATAATTTCTTCTACATGGTTTAGCAGACGGCGAATTCCATTTTGTGAATGACAAAAAAGTTTGTGTACTCTCAGATGAATCTCAAGCTTGAATAAATTGGATGCATCCATTAATCAGGCCCAATAAACCATTATTTTTGAGCAATCTCGTACTTTCACTTGTCTTAACATATCTGTCTTACTTTGGTGGTAATTCCTTTTTTTTTTTGGCCAAGCTGGGGAAATGATTTTATTTACACATTTTAGACACATTTTACTGAAGACAAAGCTTAGACTACAGAATCAAAATGAAGTTAACATTTGGGACTGGTCAATTTGTTTCAAACAATTCCACTCATAAAGAAACAGTTCAGACCAAGTCATTTGATTGGACAAGAGGGTTTCCATGAGTGCTAATTTAGACAGACGGCCTTTGTTTGGATTGATAGCCATTTAGAACCACACAGGCCACCATAGCGTGACTGCATGATACATTTTAATATACAGATAAGTGTAAGTATAAGACGGTCTGTCTGCATAGACTCACAAAGCTCATGCAGCAAGGGTGCCGAAACAACTCGGCAAAAGTCCCATCCTAGTCAAATCTTTAAATAAGTACTTTTGTAGGAGCCAAATAAATAAATAATGAACACTACTATATGCTGCTTGTTGAACTGTAGTGTAAAAGCAATATCGCACTCAAGGTTGTGATGCTGAATATAAGCACTCTGTGGTTTTCATTCACTGAATCACCGCTGTGCTGATATTTATTAAGTCACTCACTCCCCTGTGATGTCTCTTATATAACTAATCCACTGTCCCTCCACATTACATATCTAAGACACAACATGCCATTATATCAAGTGAAGTCATATTAAAGAGAAGGCTCATTTTTAATTTATTGTACTTACAAAAATGAAAAGAGACGCTTACAGTGAAGTTCTGGGCTTACCAGGAGAGGGCGCCTGAATCATTCGGTTATCTTATCCTCTAACATACCAATGCAAGCTGCACATATCGTCAACTTTATGTTTCCATAAATGTTTTCATGAATAAAAAACACCTCTGCTGTACACATGGACTGATTTAAATTTAAAAGCATTTCTCCAAAGAAAGGGAGAAAAATTATTCATAAAGCCATAGCAGATGAAACTTTAACCAAAGAAAAATATCATTAAGGAGTCATTTTTGTCGTATTGTTTGAATAACATTGACAGTGTCATTGACAATTGTTCAGAAGACGTCTTTGAAGGATCTTATACTCACAATAAAGAAGGCAAGACTGCATTTTATTTTATCTTCCACCCCCACAAACTGAGCACTGTCAATGTTGTGAGAGTCTGCCTCTCTTTTTCAAGGTTCTCCACAATGAATGTCTTGAATGATAGGAGAGGGAACAGAGGCTAGTGAGAGCGCAGGCCATAGAGGAGGATTAAAAAGAGGAGTAAAATCAGCCTTTGCCCTGCAGTTTGGTATGACACTCATTATCTGAAGTGGGCCATTCTAAGAAAGGAGGAGGTTGCCTGTCACAACAGATGTTGATTACACAAAACAGGGTAGTTTGGGAGGATGCGTGAATAAAACACGAGCTCACACACACATACACAGGGTTATTGTTGGTGCTTTGTCACCAGTCTTAATTGATTGTAATCACCATTCCTTCTCGGCAAACCTCCTCTGTTCTTGAAGTGTATGGCTATTGCTCGTTATCTGAGACGACATGGACACACAATAATCTATCAACAATAACAATGGGACTAGATGTTTTCCTTCTCTCTAATCCTGCACCTGGAGATATTTTGGGTCCAGCTTTGCAAAACATAAAATAAAGTAATAGGCTACAGTAGAACAATTCATGAAAACAGTGTGGGGCAGCATACTTTGGAGTATGCTGCCCCACACTGTTTTGTCTCAAAGATAATTATCATTGAATTAGACCAATATGGCTCCAACTGTGACATTATTTTTGAAGGAGATCTATTTCAAAATGGGACTTCCAGAGTGTAAACCATTATCATAAAGTCTTGTTATACAGGCCTAAAATTGGCCATTGCAAGAACCTGGCAGTGAAATGAAGATCTCATCTTGACCAAATGGTGGCACTGTAGCCTTAGAAATGGGAAACTACCTTCTCATGGCCAGGCCGTCGGACTGATTCCAATCCAAGGTTTGAAAAGCACTTGTCTGCTCTAAATTGTTCTTATAAAGAGCTTGGAAATACTTGACTTTTCTCCTTATGTGGTTATGGATTTCCTTTTTGTACAATTAAGTGCCATTAAAAGCTAATGTATCCTGTTAAACCACATTAAGGTGTTGGGCTGGACAGTGGCTCAGTTATCCTTCCTCTTACTGTGAATAGGCGCTCTCTCTTTTTTGAGCATTTTATGAAATCTGTCTTTGACCATTCAGAAACTTCACGATGAACATGATCAAAAGGGAAATGTCCACAGTGGTTGCGGATTCTCTGCCAGTGAGACCACCCACAGACATGGATGAGCTACGGAGAAATGAAACGATGAAACAAAACCTATCTGTGTTTGAATCAGTCAGGCTCACGCATACACTTTATAATATAAAACATTCATTTTATTTTAAGTACAATATTTTGTATTATTTATTAATTCTTCAATAGTCAGTTAGACATATTTATAATTATATAATTTGATTAAATACAATGTACTAATTAAATACATTTTAGACCAACTGAGATAAAATAGAAGCTATATACAGACAACATTGATGCATTTTATAAACGGCTGGATTTTTTAAAATCACACACAAATATAATCCTATCATTTGAGATGACACCTCCCACCAGGGGTCGTCATGGTGCCCTTCACCTCCAAGGTTATCGCACAATTAACAAGTTCAAAGCACAGTGCTTATAACTGTGAAGCTTATTGGTTTCATTTTGAAATATCAAAAAAAGGAAACAAATAATGAGGAAAATTATCTTGGTCCCGCATTGAATTCTTGTCATGTCTTGTATTTTTTAACACTACAAATACGATGTTCTGTATATGGATATTAGCAATTTCTGAATCTCATGTTTGTAATGCACGCTGTAGTTTGGAGCACATCTCCATAGAGGTTAATGAGGGGGCACTCTGAAGTAATTAAAACAAGAGCATTATAAGGCAGCAGTTTCACATAAGGTACTCATAGCCATATACCCCACACTTAATTAAAACTCTTTGCTGACAGCATTTTGTATCATCTCAGGTAATCTGCTGTGAAATTAATAAGGAGGGGAGAATTAAATGACTAATGTTGGCAAAGAAAGGCTATTTTTCCTGCAGTATGCATGACAGGGGTCCCTATCTGAATTGCGTGATCCTTATTGCGGTGAAAAATACTTCTTCAGGTTCTCACCGTAATCTGATTTCAATTTCACTTGTGGTGTGACACTGTAGCGACCAGCCGGGGGGAC